TGTGTGTGTGTGTGTGTGTGTGTGTGTGAGAGAGAGAGAGAGAGAGAGAGAGAGAGAGAGAGAGAGAGAGAGAGAGAGAGAGAGAGAGAGAGACTGGGGAAATCTGAGGAAAGCTTCCAGGAGGTAGTTCTCTCCTCCCACCATTTGGGGGAACAAACCCAGTCACCAGGCTTAGCAACCTGAGACATCACATTGATTCTCTTTATGTAACATTCTTAACACACACACACAAAAAAAAATGACAAGAATGGAGAATAGATTTGAGGTTTTCAGAGGCCGGGGATGGGTGTGGGGAGTGAGGACTGAGAGAGGTAGGCAAGGCTGTGAAAGGTAGCAAGAGGAGCGAGTATTGGTGGGGATCAAATCATTCTGCATCCTCACTGTTTCATCACCAATATCCTGTCTGTAACAGCATCCTGTCAAGATGCTGCCACTGCCGGGTGTTTCTGTAAGGCATTGCTATGGAGATATAGATATAGATACCTCTGCATTGGTTTAATTTCATATAAATCTACAATTATCTGAAACTATATTTTTCAAATATTAAAAACAAGGGTCCAGAACGATGGCTCAGCAGTTGATTGTTGCTTACTACCTTACAGAGGACCCAGTTTCAGTAGCCAACACCCCCATGAAACAGCCAAAAAAACTGGGTCTAACTTCTGGGGCCCTTTGGCCTCTGTGGGCTCCTGCCCACACATGGTACACATACAGACAAGCAGGCACACACACACACATACATACGTAAAAGAAGAAAGATATATATTTTTTAAATGTAAAAATAATTCAGTCATCTTTGTGCCCAGTGTAGATAAATATATAAAGTGTGAAGGTGGCATCATGAACATTTACTCTAATAATTTAACAATTATGACACCAGTCTTCAGACTCAGCTCTTACCTGTAACAAGGCTCCCATCAGTGATGCCAGAGCAGCCATTCCGATACACAGTGCTCCATACAGCACACCTACATGACAGCATAAAAGACAGTGTGCCAGTGTAGACCCAGAGGATTACAGTCCTCCATAAAATGAGTGCCACACCTTTGAGCCAAAGTGAATAATACCATTGAGGTGAGAACAGCCCATGCATTAAAGTCAGCAAGACAAGGCAAAGAGGCATTTTTCTAGAAGACCAACAGGGTGCAAAGAAGACAAACAAAGCCCTTACCCTGCGCCTGGGGATTAGTCACAACAGTACATTATATAAGAAAAGAATCCCTGGAATTAACTACAGGGGTTTTAAAACTTAGCACCATTCGTTTAATCTCCCACAAACATTTGTCTATAAAGGGAGGTGCAGGACTCGGCTCAGGACAATGTGGAGGAGGAAAAGGAGAGTAAACACCAGAATCGGAGCCTTCTGACTCTCAGTGTTCCTTTGTCCTGGGAACTGGTAACCCACACCAACTGTGGTTTGGGTGCCTTAGCCCTCTCAATCTCCAGCAGCAATACCCACGCCTTCCCAGTTAATCTGGCACAGAAAGGTCACTTTAATCCATATCATATTCCACCTTCCCTTCTACAAACTGCTTTACAGAAGTTCTCAACACACCCCTGGCTGGTAAATGGCAGGGTTCTTTCTTTTCATGTTCATTTCCTTTGATAATTTCATCATCATCATCATCATCATCATCATCATCGTTCTCTCATCATTATTCTCTCGTACATTACATCCCAATCCTAGTTTCCCCTTCCTCTACTCTTCCCAGTCCCCATCTTCCCTCTCCCCCAGATCTACTCCTCCTCCTTTCCCCTCAGAAAATGTACTGCTCTTAAAATTAAGAAAAACTACTTCCTAAAGCATTAAAAAAAAAACCCATTTGGAAAAAAAATTAACAGCAATCGACCAATATAGTTTTCTATGTTCAATATTAAAAAAATAACAACAAGAAGAACAGATGAGCTATTTCTTATCATAAAGTTAGCACATTCCCTCTGCTGTGGGTACCGCCTTCTTTGTCCCAGCACTCATACTTTTGTTAAGAATGTTATGTAAATTATTCGATCCCAGCTGAAAGAAAAGAAACATCTTTTTTTTTTTCAAAGTGCTCTTGTTGTAATAATGTCTATAGGGCTCAATCTAAATATAAATATCAATTTCAGTGATTTAGCTTAATTCTTTCCCATTTGATAAGCTGTGAATGATCACCATTATGGGTTTGGGTGCCCATAATTAATGCAAAGTCAAGTAGACTGTCACGTTGTCTGTGATGCCCTTGATTGCATTACCTCAGTGTAATAATAGCATAGAACCCTTCAAAGTGAATGAAAGTCAGGCCACCTGTAATCTCAGCACTCAGGAGGATGAGGCAGAAGGATCATGAGTTCCAAACCAGACCAAGCTGCATAGAAAAACCCTGCTTCAAACTTGAGTGAGAGGGAGAATGAGAGTCTTATCACTAATAGTAGTTATCATCGAGGAGAACCAAAGAGGATGCTGGGGCATTGTCCTTCGAGACTCTCTGACTATTAGATAGTTTTTTTTTTTTCTTTTTGAGACTAACCCCAGCTACCCATGAACTCATGATCCTTCTGCCTCAGCCTCCTGAGGGTCAGGGTTACAAATGTGCACCACCACCGCCATCTTAAATGTTTGAATTCGTGCCCAAGTCTTCTTGGTAGATACGATCATCCCTATACCATGATCCTGGACATGTATTCATACTATGAGGTACTTAGGCTTCTTCAGAGGACAATTTCTAGTGTCTCCAAAGCAAAGCTAAAGTGTCTCTCAAATGGAATCATGAGAAAGGAAACATGGAAACGCACTCATTCCTTGGGAAATCCAAGACAGAGACTTCTCTGACAGTGACTTGAAGTGAGGTTTGATGAGATCTTCCACGGTCACCGCAGCTAAGGCATTGATGCTGGAGGACACTGTGCTACAAGAGAAAAAAAAATTGATTTATGATATGTTAATTTGAATGGTACTTTTAGTGAGAATGAGGAAGAAGAAAGCAAATTGACACTTCTACAATAGAAGCAGATGGCGAGGGAGAGATGGCTCTGTGTTTAAGAGTACTAACTGCTTTTTCACAGGACCTGGGTTTGATCCCCAGCACCTGCAGTAGCTAAGTCACAGCCATTTGTAACTCAAGTCTCAGGGGATCGGATGCCTTCTTCTGAACTCGAGGGCACTGCATGCATGTGATGTGCAGACATACATGCATGTAGGCAAAACACCCATGCACACAAAATAATAAAATAATTTAAAGAGAACCGTGTTCTTTTATTTTTAATGATCATAGCACCTTCTTCCAGGAAGCTATTATCTTTCATGAATGAGTCAGGCAGCATAGAGAGATTGGACAGTAAGAGAGAAAGTAAGAGACAAAAGATATTTCCCAGCTTGTCTTCTGTATCTATAAAATGAATTTTCACATATTACTCAGATTATCACATAACAACTTTAAGATATAGTTTCTTTGTGCATGCAAATATTTAGATGTACAGTATTCAGCACACATAATTAAGAGATTTGAGTCTGGTTTTGCAGGTTACAATGATTTAGCCTCACACATGTTCTAAACCAAGACAGAAGCCACTAATGTTTAATACTCAGCAAATATTAAAGTCACCATCAAGTGATCATCATCACCATGACCATATTGAGTATGCCATGCTGTGGTAGGAAGCAGAGACCTAGTCAAGAGTAGAGCCAGATGACGGCAGAATGGTCCCATAGGCAGCCAACCAACAGAAGGGTGCATGGAGCAGTTTGCCTATTTTAGGCCATTTGTGACCATGTCCAGAATTCATCTTTACCTCTCAAAATAACCAATAAGAAAAGAGAGATACTCTGATGGTTATTCTTAATTGTCAACTTGATTAGATAGGAAAATGCCTAGGGGATTAGTGAAACACATCTCTGAATTTATCTTGATGATTTTCCAGGTCAAAATGAACAGATTAATACCTTGATGAGGTGCACCATGATAGCATTATTGAGGAGGGTAAATAGGTAGTGGGTAGAGCCTGCTTGGATGAAATGGGTCACCTCCAGTATACCACTGGGGACTCTATCTTGCTCTGGCCTCTTCCATGAAAAAGGTCTTCCAATGCCTGCTCCCACCACCAGAATGATTTGTCAAAATACCTAGGGCCAGGTGAGTATGGGTTGAACCCTCTGAAATTAGGATCTAAAATATGTAATTCCTTCCTGCAAGTTGTTTTCTTGCAGGTCACAATGTGTCGGTCACAATGACAGTGAAATGTACATAAGTCCTTACAGGGATGACACCTTCATAGAATCAGTTTTCTACCTTAACGTCCCACTGTAAGCACAGGCCACAAAAAGTCCAGGAACTCCCGGGTAATTTCGCAAAATGTCCAGGACCAAGTAAGGCATAAGCTGAAAAATTCCAAAATTTACACCCAAGTGTTAGTTGCTATTAAACAAAATTAATACCCAGTCAATTTCATATTCTTCCAAAAAGAATAACAGATAGCCTACGTAACCCCAAATGTGTAAAATGAAATCAAAATATATTGTTCAAATTCTGAAAGAATAAATTTAAAAAATAATCTAAAATAATCTTCTCATTTCCTAATCCCAGTTACATGGAGAGTGGGGAGGCGTTACGTTTGCACCAGTGTGAGTTTGCCTCTTCATTCTGAGGCCCCAGGCACTTGGTCAGCAAGCAGGTTTTGGAAAGTAGACTTTAGAAGAGCCCAGGCTCCCGGAGTCAGGACACGCTAAGCTTGAACTATGCAGCAAGTTTACAAGAAAGTGCAAGCTACAGAGCCTCCAGGAGCTCTAAGGGCAGAGCCTAGGTCTGAAGCATGGTCCCAGCTGCCCATGCTTACTCAGTTCTTCACTGTACCTTGGTTTCTTTTCTTTTCTTTCTTTCTTTCTTTTTTTGTTTACTGCCATGATAGTTACAGATTAGCATCATTTCTTTTTTTATTTTTATTGTTAAGAAATTTACTATTCATTTCACATACCAGCCACAGATCCCCGTCTTCTCCTGCCCTCCAGCCTTCCCCCCACCAGCCAACCCCCATTCCCACCTCCTCCAAGGCAAGGAGTACCTTGGTTTCTTAAAGGAAAAAAATGATACATGCTGCTTCCTAGTCTAACTGTGAAAAGTAAAAATTAGACTTTAAATAAAGCATATTTATTTATTTATTTGATAAAGCATATTCATTCATTATTTATTTATTTATCTATTTATGTCTGGCCTATTGAAAAGACTCAATAAGCTCTCACTGTAATTCTGTTTATTAGCAATGTGACCTTGTGCCAGTCAAAACCCTCTCTGAGTCTGGCCTAGTGGCACACTGCTTTTATTCCAGCACTTTGGGGGCAAAGGCAGGTGGATCTCTGTAATTTTGAGACCAGCCTGGTCTACAGAGTGAGTTCCAGGATAGCAAGAGCTACAAAGTAAGATCCCGTCTTGAAAACAAAACAAACAAACAAACAAACAACTCCTGAGATTCATTAAGCTACCTATGAAACTGGAATTACAGTGTTGTGGAACTGAAATTAAGCATGGTAAGACTCTAGACATGGAATCTCAGTGCACAGGATGCAAACTCTGTTCCCTTCTTAGTCTGTTTCTACATTTAAAATTGGAAGAGATGCTCAGTGGTTAAGAGATTGTTCTTGCAGAGGACCCGGATTCTGTTCCTAGCACCTACATGGCAGCTCACAGTCATCAGCAATTCGAGTTCCAAGGAATTTGTCTCCCTTTTCTGACTTCTGGGGGCACCGGGCAAGCATGTGGTACACAGACATACATATGGGTAAAAATACTCACACACATAAAATAAAATAGGTAAATGTAAAATTTTAAAGTAAATTAAAACTGGAAGATTGAAGTGAGTGCCCTAACAGTATCCACAAACTTCTTCTACGTTATGTGTTTTGTGTATAGTTTCTATTAAATATTAAGTTTACTTTTTTTACTTCCAACCCCGAGTTTTTCCATCCAAAATCTGGCTTGAAATTTCTCCAGGTGTTTGAACGATTTAGTTTCCGATACAGAAATCTTCACACATGCTCTGTCTACTACAATGTTTTTGCCACATGCTTTATAGAAGTGGAAGGTGTCTAGCTGTGCTGTGCCCACTTGCTGGGTCTCTTCAAGAACAAGAGCTTTCCTTCCTGGTACCACGAATGCTTTGCAGTGCCATCGTTACCCATGCGAGAAAGATGTGGTTCCAAACCTGGTCAACTTCCGACACTTTCTTAGATGTCCAGGGGTCACAGTCATGGTATCTGGAGTACAGGGCGAGCCCACAGAACACAGAGCAAGTGAGGATCACCCAGAGGCCCACAAGGTTGATGTAGAGAGACCTAAAGGAGAGGATAGGCAAATAACAGCTGTACTTTCTATCCCAAAGACTAAGAAAACTGTTACAAGAGCAAGAAATAACGTCATGATTATACTTAATAATTAATTAATTAATTAATTAATTAATTAATTAAATGTTTTGATTCTCAAAGATGATTTCTAGTCTATCTGACTGTCCTCTTTGCCGTCAACCAACAATGTATCTAGAAATCGTTCAGGTAGATGCTGTTTCTCAGTGAATGTGTCCTCCTACTTAAAATCCACAGGCATCCATGGCTTTATAGTAGTATCTCATTATAATACACTCAGTCCTCTTGCCATAAAATAAGGATTTTAAGAGGCACCAGAGCAGTAACTGGCTCATTTTCCTTTAAAAAAATAGTTTAATTATAAGCTGATAAACATGATTCAGCATCTACATATCAAATCACTAAAGTTCTTCCATAGTTCCTAAGACAACCCATTAAGGACAAGAAACACCCTTTGTTTTCCCAAAACAGGTTTCTCCTCCTAAACAACATTCTCTCTCACCCATTAGTTCACTCATCACATCCCATTAGTGACAGCAGAAATGAACATTTACATGTGAATGCCCAACACAGTATTCTTCCACACTTTTCATGTGGTCATAGTATTTCCTGTACTCATTTGCAAGTTTAAATCTGAAGTTCAGTGAAACTAAGTAATTTGTACAGTGCTGTCCAAGTAGCAAGTTAGAAGGTACTATAATCCAGGATTGAGGCTGATAATACAATGTATGCTACTACATCAACTCTTGAATAACCACTTTTTCATTGTTTTGAGGAACTTACACTTCTGTCCAGTGTCATTTCACTGTTTCCAGATTGCATATACTTTTCTAATATGATGCTAAATTTCCTCATGATAAAGTCATATATAAAGTTGTTTTATGGAGCTCTAGCAAATTTGGTAATCATTCTTCCATTGAGCTCTCCTTTATATTTTTTTTAACTTCCATGGGTTCTTGAGACATTTATTTCTTGATGAGGGCTCTTACTTAATAATCCATAGAAATATTTTCAAATGCTTGATTGAAAACATCTAGGACCACTCTGTGCTCAACTATAGAACCACACACCAGCCAACCTTGGTCCTTTGGTTCATCTATTTTTGGAGTTTCATGATACAAAAGACTTAAGATTGAACTAAAGTTGACTATGGAAGCATTTCCATAAGAGACATGACAGTTATTAATGATTCATATGCCATAGTTTGGCTTACAGTTTTGCATGGAGTCTGTTTTTACAGGAAATGTATCTCTGTACTTGGGACTGGTTGATACCATAGATGGTGGTCCAGGTGAAAGTCCCTCCGATGATAATTGTCCAGAATGTGTGTCTTTGCAGAGGGCTGGGATTAAAACTGGATGAAAAGAAAAGGAAAGTGAATACAAATTGTTTGCAAGAGAAAATACTCCTAGTATACTTTGAGACGCAAGCATATACACTCGCAGACTTACATAAAGATGTCCAAATTTATGTCAAAACATAAATATTTCTAATTTAAATTTAATTAAGTAAACAATTATATTTCCAGATATTAGGATATTATAGATGGAATTAGGAGAAAATACATGTTCTTATCACTTTGAGCATTTAGATATATTTTCTCCCATAATGTTAAGAACTAATTGGCCATGCTGTACTGAGGGGAGGGGATTCAAGTGTACCATGTAAATAGATGTCATACCAAAGTAAATGAAATTTAGCACACTGTGGGAACATAATTCTTCTAGCACATGTCTAGTCATAATTAAGCTTAAGAGGTCAGTATAGTCTATGAGTATATAGTTGGTAAAATTATCACGTCATTATCACTATGCTTTCTTAGAATTCCGTGTGCAAACGCTCACAGCTTAAAACCACTTCATGGCAGGCACACAAGCCCAAATACTATCTTGAGAGTTATCTCCACATTAACCAGAAAAAGAGTCAAAAAGAATCAGTGAGCTACTTGAAGGATCTAAGATAGGATAGAAAAACACAATTTGGAGATTTTAGTTCTTTTCATTTTTTCCAGGCAGGAAAGATAGTGTGCCAATTACATCTCAACACATTTCAGGATAATAGGGAACATTCTTGAAAAGTCTAGAACACAACGGGCCTTTTCATTGCCATTTAGTGGTTAGCAGTCTTCAAAGATACGGTCATTAAAGCACCTATTTTTTATTTTAAGGGATCTCTTATTGCTGTATGAAGACTATATATATATATGTATATATATATATATATCCTCTGCATATATATCCTCTGCATATAGGACAGTTATGCTGCAGAAAAGTGATTGACTTTGTATGCTATCTCAGCCTGGGCATCTTGGAAGAGACTGAGCATAATCAATATTTTCTACACAACCATTGGTCATTTCCAGCTCCTCTGATCCATTTCCCCTCTCCTGGTAAAATCAATGTGGCTTTGTTTTGGTGAAACTATGCTTTCTTCATTAACCAGTCTGAGTAAATATCAAATAAAAGTATCTTCCTGTTCTGCCCTAGCCATGGAAGGAACCATAGCCAAAGGTAGTCCAAATAGGAGCGCTCAAGATTCATATCTGAATCTTGAAGTAAAAGGAGAAACAAGTATTGAAAACAGTTGAAGGTGATTCCCTGGCACACATTCCTTCAAGTGAATAGGGTGGTGCTGTTTGGTTTCTGGAAAAAGCCTTTCTCAAAAGAAGAGGACTATTTTAAAAGACACAAAAGAGCCATCTTAAAAAAAAATCATCTAAGTGTTTTGTTTGTTTGCTTATTTGTGTGTTTCTTCCCACAGGTGATTGTAGATTTCCAATCTCAATTCAGGCAGGACTATTTAAACAGAAGAGAATATGGCCCCGGTCAAAACGACCCTCTTTCCACAGTGAACGCAGTGCATCAAGGTGACAATGTTGAACCAAGGGGAAGGTGTTTTCGTAATTCTCTAAAATTGTCTGAAATGCTTTGGATGCACTATTTAGGTTTTCTATTGTTTTAGACATGTTTATCCTATGTCAGGCTATCACTTGAAACATCAGTCATAACTTTTCTGGTCAGTTTTAATTTTTTTTTATTTTAAAAAATTATTTATTTATTTTAGTTTTTCAAAACAGGGTTTCTCTGTGTAGGCCTGGCTGTCCTAGAAGTCACTCTGTAGTGACTTCTAGGCCTCGAACCCACAGAGACCCACCTGCTTCTGTCTCCCAGTGCTGGGATTAAAGGTGTGCGCCACCACCACCTGGCTCTGACCAGTCTTTAGGAAATAACATAAAGAGATGCATACATGAAATGCTATTCAGCAATATGCTATTTTACTATGCTACATATGGATAGAATGATATCAAGATACCTTCTCAGTGTTCGTTAAAATAAAGCATTCTCCAAATGAAATCTGTCTTTCAGTGTTTGTCTCTTTGGGAGTCTTGCTTACCTTTCATCATTTTTTCCTACCCTACTTTCAACCTGTTTCAGACTCTAACCTCTGGAAGAAAATATGTTTTCTGCTCTAATGTCCTTCTATGCAGAAAGGATCATCATAATACTATACAACCCGGTGGCATCAGTTTGCTTTAACCCCTCAAAAACTGGCAAAAATTCCCCAGACATTTACTTGCCAACTTTAATTTTACAGACCTCCCCCCTTAGTAAATTATTTACTTTCCAGTACAAACTTACTATTCCAGTAAAACTGTTTCTTACAAAGAAAACAAAAGATACATTCTTTTAACCAAAAGGTAAACAGCAACTTACTTCCAGAAGTTTAATCTTCCACCATTGGAGGCATCACTTAAAACTGTATTGATCCCACCTTGAGTTATTGCCGCCTGTATAATCACAGATGCAAATCCAGCCACCATGATCCCAACTTGAAAAACATCTGTCCAGACAACTGCTTTAAGACCACCCTTAGAGAAGAAAGTGTATTAGGATTAATACTTCTATGAGATGTGATTATGTATCTCTCTAAATGTGAATGTACTATACTAGACAAAATGATGAAACATGGAACTTGGTCAAGAAGGTCACTCAAAGGAGATGGTCATCTTGAAAGAATGTTTATAAAGAAGAAAATATTTAACCTATCCCTCAAGCAGAGGCAGAGGCAAAGATGTAAGTTCCTGCCAGGCCAGAAAACAGCCTGGGAAGAAGCAGAAGAGAAGAAAGCTATACATGATCTACTGAATGTGGACAGATAGACACTTTGGACAGAAGGGAAGCGGGGTGAGGAGAATGTTGGAAAGACAATTCAGAGTTAAATATAAAAGTCATTGTGTGGGCTAATACACAGTTTGTACTCAGATACCCATATTGTTTAAAATACTAAAATTGTTGCATTCTAGCACTGCCACAAATATTTCTCTTTAGCCTCTGTTGCCTGGGTTTAAACAGGCTCTATGTAAGGATCTTGTTTCCAAGAAGATCAAGCAAAATAAAAGGTTAATATAGAGACTATTAAAGATCACATAAATTTACATTGCTGCACATAGCCTGCCTCCACAATAAAGCAGCATCATGTCTTGATGGTTGTTGCATATTTTGTCATCTCTGTCTATAGTTAATAGACCATTATCACAAGTCTCTATGCTAAGGTATTATATAAGTATGTATATATATATATATAGATATATATAGATATAGATATAGATAGATAGATAGATAGATATAGATATAGATATATATAATTTTTAGAAACTATAATAAGGAATCAAGAGATATAAACAGGGACCTGTGTCATGGTTCAGATGAAAGGAAAATTGTAAGCCATATCTAAGAACCAATTGTTCCTTACAAAAATGTTGAACTGTGAGAAGCCCAGAGGAAAAAGAGTAAGTATGAGCAGTCACTCGGCAGCACGTGACTACTTGAAATTCCAGTTTTGCAAAGTGAGTAGAGTAAAAGGGAAATGACACTCTTCACATACCATTGTGCAGTAGAAAGTGCAGACCACCCCAGTTGCCACCACTGCGCCCCACAGATCAAATCCTGTAACTGAGAAGAGAAGAGAACACATACTCAACTGTGGAATGTGCGTAACAAAAGTACTTCTCAAGAATTACCAGGGAGGCCTCTAGCTCCATACCCTGCTTGCTTAAAACTAGAATCATGTCTCATCAATGCCCTCAAGACAGATGGAGAAGAAAACCCTATTTGTTAAGTTCAACAGACATGCTGTTTGTTAATATTCACAGACACCATATAGATCCAACACTGGCTAAATGAAATACATAGAAAAAGATCTGTGTTGTAATTAAGCTAAGAAACTGCTTGATTCTGTGAAGTAGTTCACCAGACTGAATGGGATCAAAGGGGATTTCCCATCCCTTCTCATTGGTTCATATATATATGCTATTTCATCAGACTTTGAAATGTGTATTTTTTTTTGTTTTTTTTTTTTTTTCTAGACAGGGTTTCTCTGTGTAGCTTTGTGCCTTTCCTGGAGCTCACTTGGTAGCCCAGGCTGGCCTCGAACTCACAGAGATCCGCCTGTCTCTGCCTCCCGAGTGCTGGGATTAAAGGCGTGCGCCACCACGCCCGGCGAAATGTGTATTTTTAAGATAAGACTTGAGGTAGGAAAGTCTATTATTTGTTACCAGTTATCTAAAAAGTGGAGGGATATATTTTAATGGAATAATAAATAAAAGCCAATAGAAAAAAAGTTACCTATAATATATAAAGGATAAAAAGGACAAAAGAGATGGCGTTATGTTAGACGTCTTCAAATATATTTCTATTTATAGATTTGACCTTGGAACTATTACATAATTATACAATTGGAAAGGGTAAAATTAAGGACCTCATGAAACTAAAAACTAAGAACTGAGCAATACCCTTAGACATGCAATTTATTACTTTCAAAACTTGAAAGTAAAGGGAGGAACCAGACAGATGTCCTGCCGTTTCTATACAAATGATTTTTCAGAGGAACTAGGCAAGCAAAGAACATTCCTCTTATGTGTGTTCGATCTAATCAATGAAGAGGGAATTACAAAATTAGAATATGATGCACAATAAGTTCTAACAACCAAGAAGCCTCAAACCTTTATTATTACCTAGAATACAGCTCCAAAATTTGACCTGCTTTTGGAAAATCATGAACTCTCTAAGTACTGCTTACAAGAAACATTGAGGACTTGGGAACTACTGAATGGCCCAATATGGGTACAGTCAGTAAAATGAAAACCCTGAGAAGTTTGATGGGACAAATAATGCAGTTTCTTTAAGAAATAAACAGAAATTAAAAGTGAAAACAGATGAAAGTTATAAATTAAGAGAGACCTTTTAAGAGAATTTCAAACTACATCTAGTGAAAACAAAATGGCGGAAACAAACGACTCAATAGTTGATGTGTAGATTTAAACGTCTTTAATGACCAGTAGGACACACTTCAAAGCCTCAGAAGAGGGCACCCAGTGAAGATGGTGGACAGGAGGCGGTCTCCATGTGACCCAGTGAAAGAAAATGTCAGGATAAGGAAAAAAATTCTACCCTCTTCCAAAGAGAGAAAGAGGGAAATCTGCTGGAAATTGACAAAAGGAGTGGACAAAAAGCTGGAAAGTGCAGAGAACAGGGCTAGCCTCCAAAGGAAGACAGTAAAGCTGAGCACAGCTCCAGCCACGTGATCCCCTGGAGGAAAAACAGAGACAAAGACTGCATCTAAAACACAAGCCATTTGGCCTGGTGAAGAGAGACTGGCGTCCTACCCACGGGGTAAGCCCAGAGCTCTGGAAAGCCACAGATACAGTTCCAGATGCTGTTGAGGGAGAAAGCTGGGAGGATTATAGTGGGGCACCATCTTGAGAAGAAACTATTGTTGAAAACTTAGCTGCTCTGGGAACCCAAGAACAGGGAATGATCAGCCATCGGGAAGCAAAGACTTCAACCTGCCACAAGCCCAGAGAGAGAGTGTGTGTGTTCTAGGAGGCAAATGTGGAGGGCAGGAAGCCAGATGTTAAAAACCAGAAAAGTGTGGGCAAGAGGAGGCTCAGTCCAGGCAGTGGAGTACACAAGGAAAGTAGGTCTACCCTTAGTGCCTGGCAACAGGCCTCATCAGCTGAGAATAACTTAGAATTGGATAGACCTGATCCTAGGGTCAGCAAGTAGAACCACCCACCAGCCATCAGATTAGCAGCTATAGGGTCCGAGAACTCTGAAGCTCCAGCATCCTAGACACCCACAGGGCAGGGTGATGAGTGTTGACTATGCTATGAAAGCATAAGAAGAGATCCATCTGCTCAGATCTCATCACTGTGGTTGTCCCTTGTGCTCCCAACACATTTTGGAAACACCCTCAGAACGCCAGCCATCTCAGGGGATTCAAAGTGAGGAGTCTCCAGAATTGTGGGGAAGCTGCTCCACCTACACGCTAGAAAGCTAAGTGTGGTCTGCGGAGGCCCCTGGCATGAAAAAAAAAAAAAAAAAGTGGGGAGGAGCTGGTAAAATGGAGATCGCTCAGGCAGACTTGGGACGCTTGGATTCGGCTGCAACTGCAGCATAAATCGCAGGAATACAGAAGTCCAGAACATCTGGAAGCCTCCAAGATCCAAAAATAAAGTCATTCTAATATTTGTTCTCTAATTTCTGGCTCCTTGTCCTCTACCCCCTTTTTTCTCTATACTTTACTTTTTTGCTAATATTTTACTCGGTGGTACTTCTAAACCTAATGTTTATTTTACCTTTCATTAATGTATCTAATTATGTTTGCCATAATAACTAAAACATGATACTAGCAGAAACCCAGACACACAGAACCATGTGATAGAACGGGAGACCGGAAAGGGTCCCACATAGCTACAGTCACCTAATGCTTGGCAAAGGCATCAGAAACGTGTTTAGAAAATACAGCCGCGTCAACAAATGGGGCTTGAGGACGGGATAGTCCCATACACAAGAATCAAACCAGGGTGGGGGGTGGCGGAGAGGGCTCAGTGGTTAAGATCACTCGTTGCTCTTGCAGGGGACCCAGTTGTGATTCCCTCCACCCGCATAGTGGCTCACAACCACCCATAATTCCAGTTCCAGGGCATCCGATATCCCTTTCTGACCTTCACAGGCACCAGGCATGCACCTGGTACACAGACATACATATGACCAAAACACTCACACACAGAAAATAAAAAATAAATAAATCCACTTTTAAAAAAGAGTGAAACTAGATCCATATCTCTCATCATGTACATCTTTCATCATGCACAATAATAAATAAATAAATGTAATAAAAATGGATCAAATATTTTAATGTAAAACCTGAAATGCTGTAATAAAACATTGGTTAAAACACCCGAAGAAATAAGCATAGACAAGGACTTTCTGAAAAGAACTACAGGAAATAAACCCCAAAATTGACAAATGGGGTCCACATGGAAAGTGATATAATCAGCAAAGTTAAGTGGCAGCCTACAGAATGGGAAAAAAAGTCTTTGCCAACAATAAACTCCATGCGGAATTAAGGTCTAGAATACATTTAAAAAAACAATTAAGAATTAAATATTAAAAACCAAAATCATCTGTGCTGGCTAGCTTTACATCAACTTGACATGAACTATAGTCATCTGAGAGGAGGAAACCTCAATTGAGAAAATTCCTTCATAAGATAAAGCTGTAGACCAGCCTATAGAGCATTTTCTTAATTAGTGATTGACAGAGGAGGGCTCAGCCCATTGTGGGTGGGGTCACTTTGGGCCAGTGGTCCAATAAGAAACCAGGTTGAGCAAGCCATGAGAAACAGCACCCCTCCATGGCCTCTACATCCCCTTCTGCCTCCAGGCTCCCACCCAGCTTGAGTTTCTGCCTTGACTTCCCTCAGTGAACTGTGATTCAGGATACGTAAGCCATATAAACCCTTTCCTCCCCAAATTTCTTTTGGTCATGGTGTCTCATTACAGCAATAGCAACCCCTAACTAAGACACCATCCAAATTTTAAAAAAAAAAAAATTGCTAATGAATTAAATAGACAGTTCTCAAATGGAAAAATACAAATGGCCAATAACTATTTGGAAAAAGTGTTCAATGGGCTTAGGCATCAGGGAAATGCTTTGAGATTCCCTTTTACCTTAGGTGGCTATCGTCAAGAAAACAACCAATGATGCAGAAAGAAAAAAAAGATACACTGCTAGTGAGGATATAAACTAGTGCAGCCATGACATAAATCAGTATGGAGGACCCTCAAACACTAAAGTAAGACTGCCATTCGATCCTGCTACACCACTCCAGTATATATAATCAAAAGACTCTGAGTCAACCTATCACAAAGACACCTGAACATCCATACTCAGTGCACTGTTTACAACAGCCAAGATATGAAACAAGATTAAGTGCCCATCAACAGATAAATGGATAAGGAAGTTGTGATATAGATACACAGTGGAGTTTCATTCTACTGTAAAGGAAAATGAAATCGTGACATTTGCAGAAAAATGGATAGTTTTAGAAACCATTACATTAAGCAAAATAATCCAGATTCAGGAAGATAAATAGCACATTTTCCCTGATGCAGAATCTAGATATAAATGTGTGTGTGTCTGTGTATCTATGTATGTGTCTCTGTGTGTGTCTACATGTGTGTGTGTCTATGTGTGTGTCTCTGTATATGGGTCTGTGTGTGTGTGTTTCTATATATGTCTCTGGTGTATCTATGTGTGTCTATGTGTGTCTGTATGTGAGTCTGTGTGTCTGTGTATTTATGTGTCTGTGTGTCTCTTTATATGGTTCTCTGTGTGTGTGTTTATGTGTGTGTCTATGTGTCTGAATACCTATGTGTGTGTCTGTGCATGTGCATAGCATGTATTATAGCACGCACAGGACATTAAATTAGAAAGAGGAAGGAGGAGAAGATGTTTAAGTCAGCATGGAAAAGGCAGGGTGATGGAATATTTACTTCATGGAAGCAAAAGGAAGGACTATTGGAGGAAACAGGGGGACCAGCAAAAGGTGGAGATGGGGAAGAGGAAAGCAATGGAGAGGGAAGATTAGAACAAAGTGTGTGTGTGTG